CGCCTCAGCCTTCCAAGTAGCCAGAATTACAGGCGTGCGCTACCACGCCTGGCTGATTTTTTGATTTATTGTAGAGGTGAGGTCTCACCACGTTGCCCAGGCGGGTCTCGAACCCCGGGGCTCAAGCAATCCATTCACCTCAGCCTCCCAAAGGCATGGGATTACAGGCTGAGCTACCGAGCCCGGCTGAACTTCAGCAACTTTAATAATCCCTCCTCCAAATACTGTATTACTTCTAGACAGTCTATTTCTGTATTTCTTAGTACTATTGTGTGTGAAGGAGGGTTTTTGCTTAGGGTGCAGCATGTAATGACTCTGAATATACAAATTCTAAGTGAATAAGAGAGAGCCAGTTGTCTTAGGATTTGATTTTCCAGAAATTTGTATTTTATATACATCTTGTTTCTGTTGACCTCTCTGTCACCAAAAAACAGGTAACTATGATATTTTATAACACTCTTTGAAACGTCAAGACGTTGTTATTGTACTCTGGTGTGGAGTGCTTCACCTGGGATGCTGGTGCTGGCCCCCGTGGCTGAGTGGATGATGGTTTGCTGATTTTGCTTGTCCTGCTCTGGCCAGGATCACGTGGGCACTCTCGAGTCATGCCTGTCTCCCCTCCCAGGTCCCGCGGCAGCGCTGGCGGCCATGGTTCCCGTAGCCAGAAGGAGCTGCCCACAGAGCCCCCCTACACAGCATACGTCGGAAACCTCCCTTTTAACACGGTTCAGGGCGACATAGATGCGATCTTTAAGGATCTCAGCATAAGGAGTGTACGGCTAGTCAGAGACAAAGACACAGACAAATTTAAAGGTGAGTTTGGTGTCACTTTATTGTGTGTTCCTGTAAAGCTTAGGGGAGGTGGCAGGGGCAGTCAAAACAGAAATGTGTTCGTGAACCAGAAAGCTCTTATCCTGAGAGTGTTGTAAGTTATCTGCCTGGTCCAAGTAGCTGAAATTAAACATAACTCTTCAACTCACAGGTCTTCAGCACTGCTTGGGGGAAAGTGTTTTATACATAATCTGCTTTGTAGAATGTATGGCCCATGCCCAGGTCTGTTTGCCTGACCTCTGTAGCAGTCCGACCTCTGCCAGTAAAGGAGTTAATCAGGAGAGAAATGAATAGATGGCACTGAGGACTTCCAGGCACATTTCACCTGGACTGACTCACGGATTTTTCTTGGTAGCTTTCCTGTAATGCAGTTGTTCTAAAACTCAAAAAGTAACTGGTAGGTGTTAACAGTATACGCTTATAAATTTGGAGCATGTGCTTGGCAGGGGGGTTGGCTCAAATTTCAGATTTAGTGTCTACAGATCACTGTCTTTCTTTAGGGGCTTGAGCAGAGAGGAGTAAGAATGAAGGATCAGATAAGCATTGTCCTGCTTTGGAGATTTCCTGACTTAAACCATTGTGCAGTTTTTTTTGTTGTTGTTTGAGTCAGAGTCTCACTGTGTCTCCCAGACGGAGTGCAGTGGCTTGCTCATGGCCACCCCAGCGTCGACCTGCTAGGCTCAGGTGATCCTTCTGCCTCAGCCTTCCAAGTAGCCGGAACTACAGGTGTGCACTATCATACCCGGCTAACTTATTTTTGGTATATTATAGAGACAGGACCTCACCAAGTTGCCCAGGCTGGTCTCGAACCCCTGGGCTTAGGCAGTCCTTTCACCTCGGCCTCCCAAAGTGCTAGGATTACAGGCTTGAGCCACCGCACCTGGCCCCTTGTACACTTTTAAGCGCATGATGCTGGGTACCAGGATATTTGGCTTACTGAAGTAGAAGTTAATAGGACTTTAAAGTCTCTTTCTTCAAAGCATTTTAAGTATCAGATTTCAAATTTATGAACTCTAATCCCCAGTTACATGAAATAGTTATTCAGAAGTCAGAACAGCTCTGCAAATAGCCCAAGAAAGGTTTGAATATTATGGTTAAAACATAAAAGAAGAGCCAGGCACGGTGGCTCATGCCTGTGATCCCAGTATTTTGACAGGGGAAGGCAAGAGGATTGCCTGAGCCTACGGGTTCAAGACCACCAGCCTGGGCAACACGGCAAGACCTCGTCTCTACAATAAATCAAAAAATCAGCCGGGTGTGGTGGCATATACCTATGGCTGCGGCTACTTGAAAGGCTGAGATGGAAAGATCGCCTGAGTCCAGCAGGTCGATGCTGCAGGGCCTTGAGCGTGCCACTGCACTCCAGCCTGGGCAAGAGTGAGACTCTGATTCAAAAAAAAAAAAAATACAAGAAGAAAGCTTTATAAAAACACAGTTGCAGCCAGGCTCGGTGGCTCAGCCTGTAGTCCTGCAGTTTGGAAGGCTGAGTGGATTGCCTGAGCCCGCGGGTTCGAGACCTGCCTGGGCAGACGAGACCTCATCTCTACAATCAATCAAAAAAAATTAACCGGGCGTGGTAGCGCGCACCTGTAGTTCCAGCTACTTGGAAGGCTGAGGCGGAAGGATCGCCAGAGCCCAACAGGTCAAGGCTGTGGTGGCCAGGAGCAGCCACTGCACTCCAGTCTGGGTGACGGTGAGACTCCAACTCAAAAAACAAAAAACACAGTTTCTATTTCAGTGCGTATTTGATTAGCATTTTTTGACAAAATATACTTGAAGGAATACCAGTCAAGTTATACTTATTGAAAATAAAAGCCGGGCTCAGTGGCTCAGCCTATAATCCCGCGCCTTTGGGAGGCTGAGGTGAGTGGATTGCCTGAGCCCGCGGGTTCGAGACCCGCCTGGGCAGCAAGACCTCATCTCTACAATAAATCAAAAAATCAGCTGGGCGTGGTAGCGCATGCCTGTAGTTCCGGCTACGTGGAAGGCTGAGGCGGAAGGCTCGCCGGAGCCCAGCAAGTCGAGGCTGTGGTGTCCAGGAGTGGCCACTGCACTGTAGTCTGGGCGACGAAGTGAGACTCCAACTCAAAAAAAAAAGAAAAGAAAATATGCTCTTTCAGACTCTACTAGTGTACTGTCATTGAGATGAAACAGAGATGATAGTTCTGATTAGAGAAGTAGTACAGAGAGAATCTTCCCATATCATTAACCGAGAATTACTTGAGGAAATTGGGGATTTTGTTTTCTTTTCCAGGATTCTGCTATGTAGAATTCGATGAGGTGGATTCCCTTAAGGAAGCTTTGACATACGATGGTGCAGTGAGTATCCTTGGGTTTTCACTGTCATGCTAGCAGTTGCGACGTTTATCCACGCCAATACTTACACTGTTTTCTCCTTATAGCTGTTGGGTGATCGGTCACTTCGTGTGGACATTGCAGAAGGCAGAAAACAAGATAAAGGTGGCTTTGGATTCAGAAAAGGTGGACCAGATGACAGAGGTGATTGGTTCTTCTAAAACTGAACAGCATAAAAACTTGCAGTATGCCCACCAGTTATGATGCTTGAAAGTTAGTAGTGGAACAGTAGAACTCTTGCCTCGTAGGTCTGATAGGTTCTTGTGAGCTCTTAAAAACACGCGTAAATTCTTAGAAAGAATGGATGATGCTTCTGCAAGCCTGGGTTTTTTTTTTTTCTGTTGGCAGCAAAAACTCTTAGAATTATTTCATTGAACTTCCCATCACATGAGTTGTACGTCTTCCAAATGAATTTTTCCATGTTTGTGCAGCAAGGTAATGAAACAACCTCAACTTTTATCTTTTTTGTGTATCCTCAGGAATGGGTGGCTCTCGAGAATCTAGAGGTGGATGGGATTCCCGGGATGACTTCAATTCCGGTATCAGTATTTGAAGTATCACCACTTGCCTTTTTTCCAGCGGCCTTGCTGCTGGTGTACGTTTCTTGTGAGTAGCCCACCTGGCTGGGCTACTTCTTAGTTCCTTTGACAAGTAGCATTTTCCTGAAAGGTACCCAGGCATGCAAGTCAGCCTCTGCTAGAGCCTGTCGGGGGGGGGGGGTGTAGGGCTTCCAGGCCTCACGCTGTGGTCTGGTGAGACCGGTGCAGCTTGTGTGGTCGCCTTTTCAGATGCGCACGGGCCTTGAGCTTGCTCTCTGGTCTTTCAGGCTCTAGTCCAGGGACACTCCTTGGTGGCTGTGTGAGGCCAAAGAGAAGGGCTGTTACTTCTAGAAAGCATCGTATAAAGACTCTGGAAGCTTGCAGAAAGCCTCATAACCGAGGGATTCTTCCTTCGGTGGTAAGAGGTAGTCCTGGTGGCCTGTATTTTCCTTGAAGGTGAGGGGTCTCTCTTCCCTTCATGGCGGACGCAAGCCACTTTGCCATTCCCTTTTCCAGCCAGGCAGGCCAGTTGGTGTCTCAAGAGGTCAGTTTGCAGACCAGGTGTCTGCTTGGAAGAGGTCATCTCCTAAGCATTTCTTCATCTCCACTTTTTGTTTTCTTTTGTTTGTTCGTTTGGGGTGTTTTTGTTTTGTTTTTTTCTAAGTTGGAGTCTCTGTCGCCCAGGCTGGAGTGCAGTGGCACACTCACGGCCACCCCAGCATCGACCTGCTGGGCTCCAGCTATACTTTTTGTTTTCTAATTATAAAAGTAAAGTTTTTGTGTGTGTGGTAAAAGCATCAATTGTAAAGAAAGGTGGTACAGGCAAAACAAGTCTGTTTTCTTTCCCACAAGCCTGAGATGATCTCTCTGTACTCCCACACCCATTCACCGTTGCCCACCAAAACACAACTCATGTAAAGTAATTGGTAAGTATGGGAGCGACTGGTGCAAGCTGTCTTGGGAGTCTTCGGTTTTAAAAAATTCATTTCCAGCCCTGCTTTGGCTGAACAGATGACTCTATCTGTTGAATAATGTAGTTCTTAAAAGTCCTATGGCCAGTCAGAAATGAGCTTATTCATAAAAGTACAGTCTCATCCAGTAAACCTGTAATTTTATGTATAAGCTAGTCTCTGATTGAAACACGCAACAAATGTCTTCACAAAGCCATCCAGTGGCTCAGTGAGTGGCCTTTGACCTGCCAGTTTTGTATTCGCAGACGCTGTGGGAGTTACCTAAGTAGCTAACGCCTTTCCACTACTGGCTTAGCTTGGCCTTTGGTACTCAAGCAGAGACACAGTGAACATAGCCACAGCTATGTCCTTGCCTCCCACCAGTTCCAGTGTGAACTGCAGTGTTTTGGTGACACCTCAACCTGAGGTGTTCACTTGATGGCATAATGGCTAAATGCTTTATACATCACTTACAAAAATCGATGTTTTTCACTCTGAATAGAATGGTGCTATTTATTTTAATGATACATGCTCATTGTTTAAAAAAGAGAGAGCAAGAGAAAATACAAGAAAACATAAAAACATCTTGCCACCAGAAATAGCCAGTGTGTTAAATCACACTTCATAGTGAAAACCCTGAAAAGTCTTGTGAATAGCTTGCTTCCTAGAAATCTGTCGGCACACTTGATTCAAGATACCTGCTAATATCAACCCTTGCTTTTCCTTGATCATTTCCTGTTGCTTATTTCAGAAGAGATTTTGAAAAGAGACTTCCACTTATTGTACTGATTGCTTCTTCCTCAGCTGTGTGCACTTTGTCATGTACCTGGACAAAGTAGCAGTTGTGTTTATTTGCTTCACCAACGTGGGCGTGACCGGATATGTTTCATGGTAGACACTGGCAGCAAAAAATACTACCAGTAACTTAATCTCATCAAGGGAGCGTAACTTTACTTCCATACTTATATGGAAAAGTTGGTTTGGGGAAAATGTCAGGTTACATGTTTGAATACTAATTAAGCTTGTTTGATAAATTGTATAATAGCTGGTGTAAAGGTCCTAGGCAGCCGGGCTCGGTGGCTCAGCCTGTAATCCCACGCCTTGGGAGGCTAAGGTGAGTGGATTGCCTGAGCCCGCGCGTTCGAGACCAGCCTGGGCAACTTGGTGAAACCTCATCTCTACAATAAATCAAAAAATTAGCTGGGCATGGTAGCGCACGCCTGTGATTCCAGCTACTTGGAAGGCTGAGGCAGAAGGATCGCCAGAGCCCCAGCAGGTTGAGGCTGTGGTGGCCAGGAGCGACCACTGCACTCCAGTCTGGGTGACAGAGTGGGACTCTAACTCAAAAAAAAAAAAAAAATCAGCCGGACGTGGTAGTGCATGCCTATGATTCCAGCTACTCGGAAGGCTGAGGCGGAAGGATCGCCGGAGCCCAGCAGGTCGAGGCTGCGGTGGCTGGGAGCGGCCACTGCACTCCAGTCTGGGCGACAGAGTGAGACTCCAACTCAAAAAAAAAAAAGATAGTTTGATGTGTTTCCAAAAGCCCTGCCACCCTTAAAGAACAGAAATGTACCCCCATTAGAGATACTTCCATTCTTGTTATTCAGAGCAGTTGTGTCCTGTAGTCACTGGGACACTGGATCGCCAACACTGAACGGTTGCTCCTGGAGGAAATGCAGGCTCAGCTCCCTAGCACTTCCAGTCATGTTTGCACAATACCTAACCTTGTTGTAGGTATCTTTGTTTGAAGACACCCCATTTAATGTATGTGGTGCGGCTTCATTAACATTGGCCTCACAGCCACCTCTGGTACTCTACAGTGCTGCAGTTGAACCCCAGATAAGGCTTACCTAGCACTGCTTTGTCCAGTAAGGCCCGCCACAGCCGGCTTGCATTGAGGACACCGGGCAGCACTTGGCACTGCAACCGGGGATCATTTTAAATAGTAGAATCACCAACAAAAAGCACAGAAGGGCAGAAAGCCTGACATTGGATAGATAGTATAAGAGCTGAGACAGGAAGGTGGAATGTTGCCTATTTCTGCATCAGCTGGGAATGCGCACATCTGCACAATCCAGGAGTGACTGTAGAGGTGGTATCAGGACTGATTTGGGGATCACACATGACATTTTCAGCAGGTAGACAGGCTTGCAGATACAGAACTGTGAATACTGACGATGAGCTGCATGTAGAAGTCTGCCTGCGCTCCGAGGCTTCATCTGCAAGATGAGCACCCTAGCAACTCCGAGCCACAGCACCCTCTTTGGAGAGTATGCCCTTTGGGACATGGAGCAAAGGGGACTTTGCAAGAAAAGCGGAGCTGACTGGTTTAATTCTACTTTGATTTGCTGTTTCTGCTAAATCTCAACTCCACTAGGGTGTACTGTTACGGTTAGGTGGTTTAATTTTCCCCACATACACATGAAAGACTTGCACTTAAATTCAAGACTGACAACTCCCAAGTTCTCAAGGTCCATTGAAAAGATGTGTCTCCTGCACACTGAGGAGAATTCCAGCATTCTAAATGAGATGCAACTTGCTTATGCCGGGAGCCAAGTGCTTGGGTGTGCAGAGCAGGGAAAGAGCCCTCGCCTCAGGAGGTGCAGGTTGGGTGTGAGGCGCTTGTCTCTCGGGCCTCCCCTCTGCAGGGAGTGCCTTCCTGGGATAACTGCTTTGTTTGCCACACAGGTGCTTTGCTTTTAGAGTGGTGCACTCCTGAAACCAGCAGGAAAAGGAAAATGGGGAGTGTCACCCAGAGGTGACTTTGTATTTTTTATTTTCTAAGCTGTCAATGTGTTCTGAGCTGTAAATACTTCTAAGTTTGGGGTGTATCTTTTAAAATAACTATGTTGATTTATGCTAGAAAATGGATTTAATCCTGTGCTGAGGACTTTTGTTTTAAGTCATATTAGAATGTAGCTCATGGTATTTTTTCCACTTGTCTTGCAAGCTGAGAATTTAAACAGCTCATTATTTCTCTCCTAAAATCCTGGTTCTCTTATTTGAAAAGTCTTAGCATTGCAGTTACTCAGCAGATTCTCCTTTGGGCCCATTTCCAATGGACTTGATGTGGAAAAACCCCAGATACTGGACAGACGAAGAGTTTTAAATTGCACTCATAAGCGATGCACAGAGCACTGTCTAACCGCTTTCAGATGAGAGTTGGAGAAGTGACTCGCTGTCCTCTTCCTTCAGGGTTCCGGGACGACTTCCTAGGAGGCAGGGGGGGCAGTCGCCCCGGGGACCGGCGAACGGGCCCCCCAATGGGCAGTCGCTTCAGAGACGGCCCTCCCCTCCGCGGGTCCAACATGGACTTCAGAGAACCGACAGAAGGTAGGGTCACGTGCAAATGGCAGGTCGGTGACACCCCTCACAAATGATGCCTCCTTACTCCGTACACACTCACTGCCGTAGGCCGCCCCCTTTCTCTCAGTTTGTCTGTTGAGCTTTATTTGAGTATCTGCTGATGAAATAACAGTTCTGTAAGCTCATTTTAGAAAATGGGCTGGGTTGTTGAGGTAACATCAGTTTGGTCATTTTGCCAGAATGTGGAATGGAACCCGTTCTCTTACACACGGGGGACCCAAAAAAACCTGTTATTTATTTATAAAAATTGGTGTATTTTTGCATGTTTAAATTTCAGTCACCTGCCAAGTACTCTCTGTTTGATGCAGTCTACCTATCGAGACGCTTTTTCTACTGTTGACAACAGTTTTGGAACTCATCAATTCTAGTGCTTCTGCCATTTTTTGTTTCACCTCTTCCACATCAGCAAAACATCTCCCTTTGAGGGCGTTTTTCATCTAGGGAAACAAAGAAAGTCACTGGGGCAAGATTTGATGAACAGGAAGGTGGGCCTCAGAGGTTGTGCTGTTTTTTGGGTCAAAAACTGCTAAATACTCAGTTCTATGTGGGCAGGTGCGCTTGTAAATGACCCATCACGAAATGGGCAAACACGTTGAAAGATTCTCACAAAACTTCACGGAAGCTGAATGCAGCCTCTCACAACAATGCTGGGTAGTGCCCTGATGCCGATGGGTTTCTAGAACGCTCACCTAACTGGGGAACCCTGTATTACAGGGGGCCCGCCCTCCGAGAGATAATTTCAGGTTTTTGAGAATCCCCTGGTAAACCATGTTTTCTCTCCTGCAGAGGAAAGAGCACAGAGACCACGACTCCAGCTTAAACCTCGAACAGTTGCAACACCCCTCAATCAAGTAGCCAATCCCAACTCTGCCATCTTCGGGGGAGCCAGGCCCAGAGAGGAAGTTGTCCAGAAGGAGCAGGAATGAGCCCGCGCCTGGGAGGATTGGGGCGCAGGAGCCCAGGCAGCCCGGGCAGCCGTCCCGCGGCTCCGTCCCGCGGCTCCATCCCGGGCCTGACATTGTCCTCCTCTCTTCCAGCGGAAACACAGAGCTTGTGAATGCATGTCAGCTGTTAACAAGTGGTTTTTAGTACATTCTTGGCTTTGCTGTATCTATCTGGTGCCTGTTTGTGCTTTTTTTTTTCTGCCACTGCTTCCCGCCTTCCTGTCCTTTTCCTCTTCTCCTCGTCTTCTGGCAGCACACAGGCTCCGCGGAGGGACGAGGCGGCCACCGTGGGGAGGTGTGTGGCCGAGTGCTGCCTCGCTGGTCTCCTTTGCTTTCTCTTTTCCTTTAGACTCGCTGGCCAGACTCCAGGCTCTCCCTTTGGTTTCTCAGTGCTTCTCTTCTGACCTGCATGTTGAGTTCTGTATTGCTGTGGCTTCCATGAAAGCAAGCAGAAGTCACTGACACATTGAATCCCATCTTGCTTTTGTTCAGCGCTGATCAGCCTGTAGAACTGGAGGCACCTTGTTTTCCCAACAGGGATAAAAGCGTCTCGGTCCTTGCAGATTCGCTCCCGTGCCTGCTGCTCGGCCGTCCGTCGCCTCTCCCGGACGGACGGCCGTGCAGAGTGGCTCCCGCTCTGGCAGCGCGGCCCGGAGGAGGACGAGGAAGGGCTGGGGTGCTGGTGCAGTCCCTGGGAGAAAGGGGCGGCTCGCGTGTGGGCACGTGCTTTTTTTTACTGCTTCTCCGCGATGGTGTCCAGACTCCGTCGCTCCTTTCACTGCGTGTGGGAGGTGGCTCTCTGGCTGGCTACAGCAAACTGCCCGCTGGGGCCTTTTCCGCTGGCCTCGGCGCTCTGGGGGCCGAGGGGTGGGCTGGCAGGCGCTGGGCTGACTGTGGTGCCCTCGGGGCTTTTCCCCAAACCCCTGCTGTCGTGTGTTTTGTGTTTATCTGTTCCCTCGTGATGACATCATGAGCTGCTGTGCCTCCCAGCACCCCTGAGATTCACAGTGAAAATGGGCCTAGAATCAGGTACTTGACTCACTTAATGAGTTGGAAATGTTACTCTGCAGAGCTGTTGAGAGCCCTGAAGGCATTGCAGGTGACTACAGGTGTCTGGGGGTGCTGCCTCACCGGGGCCGCAGTTCATGCCAGGTACATTGTCTGGCAGGTGCCAGGGAGTAGGGCTTAGGCTGTAGACCTCGAGGCCCTGTGTGAGCAGGTGGCAGGCGCTGGAGCCCAGCCTGGCCTGTGGAGCAGCGTGGCGGCAGCCGGCAGCGAGAGCCCTCGGGAAGGGAGGCTTCGGACGACGGCAGGGCCCGGGGTGGCCTGGCTCGCGCAGCCTGCTTGGTAGTCGGTCGCTAGCCGCCGTCCTCAGCTTCTCCCCGCGTCTTGGCCACAAGGTCTCAGCAGCCTGCAGAACTCTCGCTCCTCTCCTTCCTGCCACCTGTCAGCTTCTCTGCTTCGGAGATAAGAACCATTTGTGTAACACCAATACTTAACTTACGAGAGACATGCATCATGTGGTTGTAATCAAACCGATGCTTTCAGATGACCTACTTACATCTTCAATGTGGATAAGATAAAGAACAAAACAAATTCATCCAAACTTCTGGGCAATCCAGTTGACTTTTAAATGTAAGAATGGAATTCCAAACACTTAACACATTCAGCTATATGACAGAAAGTAAATCTATGGATATGGTATTTTGTGAATGATCTTTTAAATAAAAGAAAACCTTACGTAATATTTAATGCTTGTCTTTATTTTTGAGGTTTTTTTTAGCTGCTCATTAGATGAACAGTATAAAACTTGGGAAGCACTGTCTACATTGGTGCACTGTAGTTTATGTATTTTATTTATTTATTTATTTATTTATTTATTTTTTTGAGTTGGAGTCTCACTTGGTCGCCCAGACTGGAGTGCAATGGCCGCTCCCGGCCACCGCAGCCTTGACCTGCTGGGCTCTGGTGATCCTTCCTCCTCGGCCTTCCAAGTAGCCGGAATTACAGGCGCACGCTACCACGCCCGGCTGATTTTTTGATTTATTGCAGAGATGAGGTCTCGCTGCCCAGGTGGGTCTCGAACTCGCGGGCTCAGGCAATCAACTCACCTCAGCCTCCCAAAGGCGCAGGATTACAGGCTGAGCCACCGAGCCCTGCTGAGCACTGTATTTTTAAATAACAGCTTCAGTGAAGTCATTTTAAAAGCTAGTTATGATTACAAATAGGATGCCAAGTCTTTTCTCCTTTTTCCCCCCCTCACTTCCTAAAAGTGTTTCCTAACCAGACAGAAACTGCAAGTCTAGCAGTTTGGGGGTGAGTAGAGGAACAGTCGTTTTCCCCAAGGAAATCGATTTCATTTGCACAATGTGTGGCTGCCTTTACCAACTGCTTGTAAAGGAAATCACAGGTGCCCCCCCCCCCCCCCCCGTGCCCACGATGGGAACTGCTTTGTGGCGAGCGGGTCTTCTTCCGGGGCTCTGCCGTGTGGTTTGCCGCTGGTCATTTCTCTGATCGCTTCTGCAGGCGGAGACGAGCCACGCGGGCGAGGGACAGGGCTGGGAGGTGTGTGCAGGCAAGGCCTGGGCGCCTTTGGGAGGGTGAGGGGGGCGGGCCTCAGGTGGGACTTCACGGCGGACGCCGAAGCGGGAAGATCCCGAAGACCGAAGACCTCTCCGTGCCCTGCGGAGGAGCTGGGCCTTGGTGCCGTGGAGACCCCTGGGGTGGTGGCCAGACTTGAAATCGGCTCTGTGATCCTCTTCTCCAAGGGTCCTGGGGCTCCAGCTGAGCGACCTGTGGGACGTTCCCATGTTTGAAGGGGCCGGCTGGGTCCCCCCATCACCCGCGAGGTTTTTGAACATTGACGTGGGCTTGTGCGGCTGTCTCCCGCCTCCCCTGAATGTCACTAGGGCTTTCAACAAACACTTGGTTCCTCGGCAGGCCGACACGCACAAAACCTTTCCGTATCTGCAGCAAGGTGAGTCCACAAATAAGCATCCGAATGATTAGAGTCATTTTTGTGAAAGTTGTTAACCTGCGGTGCCGGGGTCCCAGCGGTGGCTTGGCAGGTAGTTGTTCCCTGGCTCCTCTGCTATTGAACCTTCTTCAAGAGAGCCAAAGTTTAATAACATGCCAGATGAAGCCCTTTTAATAAAGGATTCTGATCTCCAAAGAATGTTCTTGCCTCACGGCTCATTTTTTTTTTTTGAGTTGGAGTCTCACTCTCGCCCAGACTGAGTGCAGTGGCCGCTCCCGGCCACCGCAGCCTCGACCCGCTGGGCTCCGGCGATCCTTCCGCCTCAGCCTTCCGAGTGGCCGGAATTAGAGGCATGCGCTACCATGCCTGGCTGATTTTTGATTTATTGTAGAGATGAGGTCTCGCTGCCCAGGCGGGTCTCGAACCCGCGGGCTCAGGCCATCCACTCACCTCGGCCTCCCAAAGGCGCGGGATGACAGGCTGAGCCACCGAGCCCGGCTCTCACGGCTCATTTTGTCCGGGACCAGACTTTCTGCAGGGCCCGGTACTTGGTGACTCTTCTGACTGTGATCCTGTGGCACCAGCTCCAGTTTCTACGGGGGGAAACGTTTCCACAGCCGGCTGGATTTCCCGTCAATCGCTGTCTTGCTTCTTCATGGAGGCTGGAGGTGTCCATTGGGTGAGGCAGGAGGGTGTCGGCTTGTTATCTAGCGCACACCTTGAATTTGTGATTTCCAGGGGAAGCCTGGGATTGTTTCAAACAAGAAAAGTTCATTCGTGAACCCACAACTGGGGCTTGCCCGGCCACGGGAAAGATGGTAGAACAGCCTCGCCTAGGAAGGTTGCAGACGCTGGGCTCCCTCCGAAGCGGGGCTGGCTCTGGCCTCGTCCGGCGTTATTTCTTGGGTGAGGAGCTTTGCGCCGTCTTTGCATTTTCTTGGCCGATCTTTAGCACTGCTGGGCTGTCTGGAGTTCCTCGCCTGTGAGGCTGACAGACTCACACGTCTAGAGTCTTCCTCTGCGTTTCCTTGTCGTGGAAGGGAACCTAAATGACGGAGACTACGTTTGTTACCACTCTCTCCTTGTCTCCCCGTCTGTAGCCGACCCCTCCGTCTAAAGTATTGAGCACACCAGGAGGAGCTCACGACTTCCCGGCCGCCGGCCCTCCAGCTCCATCGGGGGCCTGGACAGAGCTAGCCCCTGTGCCTGTGCTTCCCGTCCTTGTGGGAAGGGGCCTGGCTTGTCCCGAACAGACAGGGAGGGAGGGAGACGCACCCTTCGGGCAGCCCCGATACTCCATAAGCAGCTCCAAAGCTCCTCGGAGTTTGCAGACGGCTTTCACATGCCTTGGAGTTAGGAATACGCTCCCTCATTAAAAAGCACACTTACCGCCGGGCTCGGTGGCTCAGCCTGTCATCCCGCGCCTTGGGAGGCTGAGGTGAGTGGATGGCCTGAGCCCACGGGTTCGAGACCTGCCTGGGCAGCGAGACCTCATCTCTCCAATAAATCAAAAAAAAAATCAGCCGGGCGTGGTAGTGCACGCCTGTAATTCCAGCTACTCGGAAGGCGGAGGTGGAAGGATCGCCGGAGCCCGGCAGGTCGAGGCTGCGGTGGCCGGGAGTGGCCACTGCACTCCGGTCTGGGCGACAGAGTGAGACTCCAACTCAAAAAAACCAAAACACAAAAAACACACTTACCAAAGGCAAGCAATGGAAAGGCGAGTTACAAGCTGAAGAACAATGAGGGATCTATGCAGGGTTCCTGCCCATGGATAAGAGGAAAACAATTCAGAAAACCAAGGAAAGTATCAGCAGGTTTTCCACAGAGGATGAAATAGGGTCCCAAAGAACGTCCAGCCTTATTCGGGACCAGGAAATTAAACGAAGACTTCACAAACGAGATGCCTTTGAACACCGTGGAGGTCGCAAGACCAGGAAGCCGGGCCTGGGAGCCTGTGCGTCTCACGTGACAGGTGAGAGTGGAAATGGTGCCGCGTGGGAACGGCAGCCCCTGCAGCTGTGGGCCCAAGAGAAATCACTTTCACAGCGGCAGAACATGAAACCAATCGTGTCCGTCCGGTAGAAATGACCTTCAGCGATCAGAACAGCATACGTCAACCTGGAGGCTAAGGTGGGAGGATCGCCTGAGCCCGGGTGGTCGCGGCTGCGGTGAGCCGTGGGCGAGCCACTGCACTCCAGCCTGGGCGACGGAGTGAGATCCTGACTCAAAAAATAATAAAGCTCCCACGGTCGCATGCGGCACCCTGGATGGATCATGGCGGTGAAAGAGGTGGGAGGTGAGTCCCAAGTGCTTGCAGACAACTGGTGCTTTTTCATGTGTAACATTGCCCACTTCCTAAATACATGACCCTCCAAAAAAAGTCAGTTTTCTAGATGCAGGGAGGCAGGAGGATGGGGGAAGATTCTGGATCCAGTTGGGTAGCGGGTTCATGGGGTAACGTTTTTCTCAGGAAAGTCAAGAGCTTTCTTCAGCTGCAAGGAGCAGCTGGGTGGAAGGGTCTCAGCGCTGGGATTATGGAGCGTCCTCAGAGCCGCTACGTAGCTGTCTAGGTGTCTCGCTTCTGTAATAAATGTGCATACAACAGTCACTCAGCTGTGAGCCAAAAAACCCTGACTGGGCTGACAACAACGTTTTTGGAGATAATGGCAATAGTTGGCCGGACTCGGTGGCTCTGCCTGTCATCCCAGCACTTGGGGAGGCTGAGGGGAGTGGATTGCCTGAGCCTGCGGGTCCGAGGCCAGCCCAGGCAACTTGGCAGGACCTTGTCTCTGCAGTAAGTACGTTTTTAAAAATCATCTGGTGCTCGCTTCGGCAGCACATATACTAAAATTGGAACGATACAGAGAAGATTAGCATGGCCCCTGCGCAAGGATGACACGCAAATTCGTGAAGCGTTCCGTATTTTTGTACCCCACAAAACCATAATAAAAAATACTGATTAATTATTAAAAAAAAAAAAATCATCTGGGTGTGGTAGCATACGCCTGTAGTTCCGGCTACTTGGAAGGCTGAGGCAGAAGGATCACCAGAGCCCAGCAGGCTGACGCTGGGGTGGCCGTGAGTGTGCCACGGCACTCTAGCCTGGGTGACGGGAGTGAGACTCCCACTCAGAAATAATGGCGATAGTCACACAACATTGAATGCAATTCATGCTACTGGCTGCATACTTTAAAATAATTAAAATGGCCGGGCTCAGTGGCTCATGACTATTAATCCCAGCACTTTGGGAGGCCGAGGTGAGAGGAATGCCTGAGCCCATGGGTTTGAGACCAGCCTGGGCAACTTGGTGAGGCCTCATCTCTACAATCAATAAAAAAATTAGCCGGCTGTGGTGGTGCATGCCTGTAGTTCCAGCTACTTGGAAGACAGGCGGAAGGATCACCGGAGCCCAGCAGGTTGACGCTGGGGTGGCCGTGAGTGTGCCACTGTACTCCAGCCTGGGCAGACAGAGTGAGACTCCAACTCAAAAAATAAAATAATTAAAAATGGGCAGTGGCTCATACCTGTAATTTCAATATTCTGGGAAGCCAAGGCAGGAGGATTGCTTGAGGCCAGCAGTTTGAGATCAGCCAGGGCAACACAGCAAGACCCCATCTCTATAAGAACTTTAAAAATTAGCATTTTATGTTATGCTGCACATATTTGACCAGTTTGTGCCAAATAACATAAAATGCCAAAAACCGTTGAGTTGCTAAAAAAAGTTTATGAGACTATATGTCCCTGAATATGAACTGTCTACTTTTTTTGGTTTTTA